ATGTGGTCCTCTCTGTGGACTGGCTGCTCTATTTGGGGTCATCATCCTCAAGGCCTGGTGGACCAGGATGTGCTCCAGTCTCTCCTCCTCCCCCATCATCTGCTCCTGTGTGCTCTGGTCAGATATATCCTCCCAAAGCTGCAGATTCAGTGCCATCCTTTGAGATAAATTCTTCTTGGGAGCGGCGGGATTGCTAGTGTTTTTCTAATTCCATATTCCCCTTTATACTTACTAACATTCTACTCTAAGGATGAGCTTTCTATTCTGTGTCTTATTTACACATTAGTCAATTATCAGTGTGCATGCATTTATTTTAACTCTGTTATTATATTGTAATTTATTTCTAGTTTTTTTTTTCAAATCTGGCCAGCGTAACCTTTTCTTGGTGACTAGGAGCTGCCAAGACGAGTATGATTGATTCACTGTTTGGGGGGATAGTAGGAGGAACTTTGGCAACACAGTGGTTACAGGCACGGCCAGCTGCTGACTGACAGGCCCAGACTTCAAACCCATCAGCAGTTCCTATGGGTGATCTGACAGCCATATAAAATCAACATCACCTCTGGGCTGCTCCCATCACAGGTGATCTCCTAGGAAACTCAGCATCGTAGGTGCTTTGAGTGAGAACAGACTCAAGGATCCCCAGTCACATCAGGATAGGAGGAAGGCAGGTTGTTGATGGGGAAATGAGTGTCTTCCTGCTTTCATTGGGATTCACCACCTTACTGATACTTGGGGATTTGCCTAAGTGTTTGTGTCCCTGTCATGAATTGCTGCTTTCTGTCTTTGTAAAAATCTGTTCACGTGAGTTAAAATCCAAGTAACCAAGTAGGGCAAAGGGTGTTTCTTTCTTACTTTCTTGCTGTAAGGTTACGCTTGTCGTACATTACTGCATCTGACCACATTGGAATGGCAGAAATGATGTATGCCCGCAGTTGTACTTATAAAACCTTTTCTTCTTGCTGTTTTGTTCGGCATGCTTTCAGGTGCTATACACTGAACAAACTTTATTATTTAGCTATAACTTGTATGTATCGTCTTGGATAAGAATGTAGAAATAAATAACATGGAATTTTGCCTTGGGTAGGATCTGTCACGAAAACATGACATCCCGATTGATGGAGACTTCTGCAGCAGTTACTTCCAGGGCATCGACTGCTGGACCACAAAAAATGAAAACTTGGAATGCGACCGTGACTCACAGGTGTTTCCCTCATTAACTGTGAGTATCTGCCTGGCCCGTGGCCGCAATTCAACTTAAACACTGTCTTATCAGCATTTTAATGAAGAATGGTGCTATTTCTAACCATTTTAGGTTAATAGACATATGTCTGTGTGTGTATTCTTAGAAAATTACACAAAAAACAAACTCACTGCCATTGACTCGCTTCCAACTCAGAGTGGCACACTAGGACAGAGAAGACCTGCTCCTGTCCGTTTCCGAAAGTGTAACTCTTTTTTACTAATATTGTATTGGGGGCTCGTACAACTCTTATCACAACCCATACACACATCCAACGTGTACATTTATTGCCATCATCATTCTCAAAACATTTGTTTTCAACTTGAACCCTTGATAATTTATAAATCATTATTAATTTGTCATGTCTTACACTGTCTGATGTCTCCCTTCACCCACTTTTCTGTTGTACATCCCCTAGGGAGGGGGCTATATGTAGATTCTTGTGATTGGTTCCCCCTTTCTGCCCACCATCCCCCCACCGTCTTGGTATCACCACTCTCACCACTGGGCCTGAGGGGTTCATCTGTCCTGGATTCCCTGTGTTTCCAGTTCTTATCCGTACCAGTGTACATGCTCCGGTCTAGCCGGATTTGTAAGGTAGAATTGGGATCATGATAGTGGTAGGGAGGAAGCATTAAAGAACTAGAAGAAAGTTGTGTGTTTCATCATTGCTACACTGCACCCCGACTGGCCCATCTCCTTCCTGCAGCCCTTCTGTAGGGGTTGTCCAGTTGCCTATAGATGGGCTTTGGGTCCCCACTCTGCACTCCCCATCATTCTCAATGATATGAGTTGTTGTTTTTTTCTTTGATGCCTGATACCTGATCCCATTGACACCTCGTGATCACACTGGCTGGTGCGCTTTTACCATGTGGTCTTTGTTGCTTCTGAGCTAGATGGCCACCTGTTTACTTTCAAACCTTTAAGACCCGAGACGTTATATCTTTTGATAGCCGGCCACAATCAACTTTCCTCACCACATTTGCTTATGCACCCACTTTGTCTTCAGTGATCATGTCAGGAAGGTGAGCATCATGGAATGCCAGTTTAATAGAACAAAGTGTTCTTGCATTGAGGGAGTACTTGAGTGGAGGCCCAATGTCCATCTGCGACCTTAATACTAAACCTATAAATCTATGCACATGGATCTCTTTCCCCATCGTCATATATAGATATCAGTGTGAAGAATTCTTAACGATGTGATGTTAACAGAAAACTGTTCTGACATCGTAGGCTTTCCTTGAACTCATTTTCAACGATCGTTAGAAAGCAGTGGGATCGTTACATTCTACCGTGTTCATAGCAGGCTGCCCTGGGTATGAGGTGACAGGTCTGTTTAATTCTCTGTAAATTCTGAAATGAGAAATAGGTCTTTAGCACAAAGGATTTAAAGTATTCTTTATAAAATTTGCATGGAAATACATTAAATGTAATGGAAAGAACTCATACTATTCATGGATAGCTTGGTAAACTTTCAAAAACTGCACATCCTTGTGTAAATACCACCCACATCAAGAAGACACCCCTCATGTTCCCTTTTGCTCCCTACCACCCCCTCCACTAGGAGTCATCGCTATCTTTCTTAAGGAATCCATTTTTTCAAAGCTCGATTTTGTTACCCACATTTAGGGTAGAGTGAGATTCATTTTCTCATGCTCAGCTTTCAGAGCTTTACTTTTCTTCTTCATGTATTTTTCTTTCTCGATTGTTAACATTATTTCCCCCATAGAAAAGCAACAATTTACAGTGCAATTGCTTTCCTATTTTTCTTCTTCCAGAATAAAGAACTAATGCCAACTACTAAGAATATTTCTAACCAAGAAGGATCAATGGTAAGTCATTTTATTTGTCCTTCAATAAAAATCACAAATTATTGTAGGATTGACAGAATTCTAGTGACGGACAGAGCCTTGTCGAGTGACAATAGTGCAGCATTAATGGAATCAGTGAAGACCAAAGGAATGTTAGGAGGTTAGGCCAAACTGTATTGCTAATAGTGTTCCAGTTGTTCCAGACACACTGTTCACACACGTCTCTCTGGTCGGGGAACAGCTGCAGGCACGTCATTTCAGCCCACTTGTCTTCGTCTCATTCTCATAAAACTTCCCGTCACGTTCATTTGATTTTGACTCCCAGAGTCCCTGTAGGCCAGCCTAGAGACTGTACCTCTCTTTATGGCAGTAGAGAGCTGCTTCTGCAGAGGAGCTGATGGTTTTGAACTGCTGGCCATGGTCATCTCCTAGTCTCATTAAGTCAAATCAAATTCACTGCCATCGAGTTGAGGCCAACTCATAGCAACCCTATAAGACAGGCTGCCCCATGTGAGTATCTGGGACTATAATTGTAAGGTTTCTTGAGTGGATAATACCTCGGTTCTAAGGCACAGTGGAAGAACTCACGCTGCAGCCCGTTTTGTAATCCCAGTGGGTTTTTTATGAAGGACAGGATAAGTTTCAGGTTGTACAGTCTCAAAAGGGTTCACAACTGGGCACGAGCAACCTCGTGGAAAAGAGCACCCACATGTGTGGAACTCAGTTGGGGGGATCCCCGGAGGCCAGAGATCAAGGGGGGCCAGAGCACGGGGCAAGAGAGCACAAGGCACGAGAGCAAAAGGGTGAGAGACTCTGTGGGCCCCTTGTAGGCCCGGAGCCGGGTGCATGTGCACCCATGCTGGGAGGGAGACCCTCATCCTCCCCTGCTGCTAGGAGCCATGTAAGAGAGCGGCCTTCCCACAGCCAAGATATTTCAAGCCTCTGGCTGGGGAGGCGTGGTTGATGATACTGGTTGATCCCATTGGCTGAATTAAACCCACCTGGGTGATATCATGAGCCTGGGCCTAGTTTGGAATGCCCAGGTTTATCTCCCGCCTGGCTGGGGGTTTGAGTGTGAGCATGCTCAGTTTGGGGTCTTCCTCTGTCTAAAACATGCTGATTTCTACCCATCCTCCTTTATAGGGGCCTTTGCAGGTATGGGAGGCCAACCCCCTGCCCCTAAATCTAGCTACCTAACTTCATTGCTTACAGGAGTAGAAAGCTTTATCCTCCACCCAGTGTATAACCACCACTGCCACCAGGGCTCCCTTTAGTCTCGTTAGGGTCCCTTTAAGAAAAGTTCCAATCAAAACAGTGGTTGCAAGGGCATCTGCTTGTACAATTAAAATCAAGGCAGAGAAGTCAGCTCCGAGGATTGTAGTGATTGTCTTTGGGAGATTCCAAAGAGGTAATCTTGATGGAATCTCTTAAAGGAGACAGGGTGATCACAGAGGCTTATTATGAAGAAGTTTTAAGAAAAATTAAAGCCTGCATTGGTGAGAAAAAGGCCAGGGAAATTACCTGAGATATTTCCCCCCCTTATGACAGTGTACCTGCTCATTCTTGGAGGGTAGTTAAGGCTGTCCTAGGAAATTTTTGTTGGAAAACTTACCCCAGCCACCGAGTACCCCTCATATGCACTCAAAGACCATTGGAAAGAAAGATGATTTGAGTCCTTTGTTGATGGCCAAACTCCCACTTTTGCATGGGCACATTGAGGAGTGAAGCATTCTTTGGAGGAAGGGTCAGAGATGGAAATACCGCCTACAGTAGTATAGAAACCTGGATGGAGGCTATGTTAAATAATAGCTTTGCTTTCTGTTTTTGTGTTTAAAAAGGCTTCTGTAATTAAAGGGAGCCCTGGTGGTGTAGTGGCTACGAGTTGTGCTGTGATCCGCAGTTCAAAACCACCAGCATCTCAGAGGGAGAAAGATGGGGCTTTCTACTCCTGTACACAGTTACGGTCCTCAGAAACCCACAGTGGGTTGCTATGAGTCAGCGTCGACTTAATGGCAGTATGTTTCATTTTTTTCGGTTTTCGAGGTTTTTTTAATTCAACTTCATGTTTAAAACAATATATATATGTATATATGTATATGTATGTCCACACACATACATATACACATACGCATTTTGTGTAGTGTCTGTTATCTTCATTTTTAAATCTCTTAAAGGTAATTTAGGATTAAAAGTAATCTTTTTTTTATTTCTTGTATTTCCATACACCCACAAAGGGTGGCAAAAAATTGGCATATGGGAAGTTAGTATAGAAGTCAGACGCTTGAGCAAGATGTCAGAATTAGGAGGAGTGCTGTGTAGGGACTGCAAGCAGGTTTATTCCCCAAACCAGCCCACTGCCATCGAGTCAGTTCCAGCTCACAATGATTCAGTACGGGGTGCCAGCGACTCAATGTTTATGTGTATAGGGGCAGACAGACTAGACTCTTCTTTTCCAGGGAGCACCTGGGGGACCGGAACTGCCCACACTTAGCCCACAGTGCCATTAGCGCTCGCTCCTGAAATGTTGGTTCAAAAGCAGCTCTCTGCCATCGAGTCAGTTTTAACTAGAAGGACCTAGAGAATAGAATAGGACTGCCCGTTTGGGTCTCCAAAGCTGTACACCCAATCTAGGGGAGCAGACAGCCTCATCTTTCTCCCTTGGAGTAGCGGGTGGGTTTGAAACGCTGACCTGGCCATTAACAGGCAGATAAGTCACCACTGTGCCACCAGGGCTAACTGAAAGCAGGGTTAGGGGAGCTTGATGTCGGCTTTTCTCCTGTCGCTCTTCCTCCTTCTGCTTTCTTCAGCCACCCTCGAGGGGATGCTGGTTGGGGAAAACCGTTTGCTTCGCTGTGGCCAACATGAACTCTGCAGGTCTGCGGGTTCTACTGCAGCGAGGACCAGGAGAGGTCCAGGAAAAGTTTGGGTCCAGTGATGTGGGGACTTAGGAGAGTCTCGGCATGAGAGTGAGCCTATGTTCCTCAGGCAACTCCTACAGTGCCTCGAGTAACAGATCGTGTAGACCAGGGTTTAGCAAACTGGCTCTTTCAGTATGTACATGTGGCTCTGAAGTAAAACTGAAAAAGTTTAACCCTATAACGCCGAGCGTGACATTTTCATAACATTTAATTAAATGTATATATTAATGTATATATATTGATAACTATGAAAGTAAAGAATAAAAACAAAAAAATTTTTTCCTGAAACTAAAAATTCAGGTGTTACAGGGTTAAAGGATATTATTCAGATAATGGTGATCTCATTTGCTGTAAAAATGTGTTTGTTTATGACTCTTGAATAATTCTTACAATTGTTGGGAGGGGCAGGATCGACTCCATCATCTCAGAAGTGTGCCAGCCCTGATCTAGAGTCACATCCCACAATGTTACCTGGCTTCCTTCTTTTTAACTCGCTTTTGAAAAGGCACATAGCTCATTAAAAGTAGATGCTGATAAGGTTAGGGTAGCATGAGAAGGGTAGTATTTTCCAAATGGTGAGAGAATTAGATAAAACAGAATGGTCGCAGTCGGGTGGAGAGGGCCCTGGAGACGTGTACAAGGCCAACGAGCATAGACGCTTTCTTCCTCTCTGCCATCTCCTGGGAGGCTGGTGGGGAAATGGGTGAGGGACTGAAGGACCTGCCCTTTCATTTGCTTAGTGCTCCTCTGCTCATTTGTTTGTTTCTGTAGTCCCAATTTAATCATTAGAATGTCTTTTAAAACATGGCAAATGATTGTTTAGATGGCAATTGTGAAAAATAACATGAAGGATATTGTTTTCCTCTTTCAGGATGTTATTGCCAGAACACAGAGGGATGGGTTTCATATCTTTGTTGTTTCTATTAAAACGGAAAAAACAGATGTAAACTGGAACTTGAATGGTACAGTAAACACCGCATGCTTCTCGTCTCCATTTCCTATGCCCTCTATTTTGATGTTGGCCTGAATCTACATACTGTGATAATAGTACATCATGCAGACATGCATTTTGGTTTAACGTTAACTTGGGGGACTTATGCTTGTCTTAGCTCCAATATTTATCTATTGAAAATTGTATTTCAAAGTATTTCTTAATGTATTAAAACATTGATTCTGAAAAATTTCGAACCTCATATTTGAGAGTACGATATGAAATTTCCATCCTTTCAGATTTTAAGTAGTATTTTAACTCATGGAAATGGATAGGGCACACCTTAAATTGTATTTGAAATAGGTCATTTCCTTGAAAGTGGGTGTCTTTGAAAAGTATTATTTCAAAGGCTCTGCGTGGTACCTGTGGCCTCTGCCTCCCCACCCGTCACAAGGAGGGCCCTGGTGCCTCATGTGAGGGGAGCTCTCAGGAGGCAATTTTCCCAGGGCTGAGTGCTTTGACTGACTTTCTCCCTGCTGGGCTTGAGCTGGGCAGTCAGCTCCAAACAGCATGCACCCATCTCGGGGATTCACGGAGGAATCTAGGGGAAGCCAGGCTTTGCCTCCGAGAAGTGCTCCGTCTGTGGAGAGACGGACAGCAGTGAAGCCCAGCAGGTGTTGCTGCAGAGGAGACACCAGCTGTGGACTGGGGGCTTGGGCAGGGGAGCTGACTGCTCTGGAAGATGGTGGGCAGTGGGGCTTCCTTCAGAAGACGGCCTCTGAGATGCAGGGCCTGGTACAAGTCAGATGTGCCACACGGATGGCAACAGTGACCTTGAAATGAGTCCCTGACTAACCTGCCCCTCCTTCCCAAGCATGCTGTCTTTCCCCCCAACACCCACACACTGCTGTCAAGTCCATTTGAACTCAGCAACTCTATAGGACAGAGTAGACCTGCCCAGAAGGATTCCAAAGCTGTAAATCTTTACTGAAGCCGACTGTCTTGTTGAGCACGCTGGTGGATTTGAACTGTGGACCCTCTGTACAACCAGGGTTCTTCCCTCCTTTGGGTCTGGCCCCCCAAACGAATGGGTCCTGAGGCGTGGTGGTGCAATTAGGGAAAATAAGGGGACAGAAGGAAAATGAGGACAGGCGCTCACCTTTCGGAAGCCAGAATAAAGAGAGCGAATATATTTTCCAGTGGGGGTGTGTGTGTAGTCTTAGGGCTTGTAAGCCTCCATCAGTCACATATGGAAAAAAGTGGGCAGCAGTGTAGGGGACGAGATAACTTTTTTGTTCTCATAATGGGCAGCCAGGAACTTGCAAAGAGCATTTTAAAGTAGCACCTTTGGGTAGCACAGGGGGCGAGGGGCTATAGTGGGGACGGTTTTCAGTGGAGAATGTGTGCTGGGAGTCATCTCTATCTCACAATTGTGAGGGCCTTCCCCCCACTAGAGTCGGCTTTCCAAACTGTGATTCTAAGCATAGAAAATTTGACGTTTACATTTTCATCCAGTGCCTCAGTATTCCTCTGCTAGTTACTAACTAGAGCCATGGCTGAACCTTGCAGGGCTTGGGCTGCACTTGGCCCTTGGTGTTCATGATTGCTCTCTTGTGCAACAGCCCAGCCTGTGTGCTTGGGCTCAGTAGTTTATCCCAGGTTACATTTAGGAGGATAAAATCCTCAGAGCAGCAAGGGCCTGCTTTTGCAGCCAGCACTGCTTTGTTTGAGATCAGATTTGGCACAGGTTTTTACAGTAGCTTGTACACAGTGAAGGTATCTTGATAAAGTTGCATATTCAAATCATTTCCAATTATTCAATACCTTGCATGTGCTAAGTAAGAATTCTGCATTCACAGAGCTTCTCTTGCATGAGCTCTTACATAGCTTATATTTAATTTTTTTAATTTGGAGTTTCTTATTATTTTCAATCATTTTATTGGGGTCTCTTACAACTTTTAGATTTAAAATTGTAGACTGATTGTTAATTAACCCCTTCATTTCTTTGCCGTTCTTACCTTCCCTTTCCTAGTTTCTGTTTCTATGATGGGACCTCATGGCTATATCTCTGCATCCGATTGGCCTCTAATGATTGTGAGTATTTTTTCTCCCGTTTGTCTAGTGAAGTTTGTGTCTTGTTTGGAAAGTTCTTCAATTCTAGGATCACAGTGGTGGTGGTGGTGGTGGGCCCTTAGTAGCTGCTGCCGTGACAGCCTGTCTCCCTGGCCGCAGTGTGGAACGCTAATGCTCGCATGGAGAATCATGTCAGCTCACAAGGAATCACAAACCCTAACCGACAAAAATGTCTTTCCTCCCTACAGTTTTACATGGTGATGTGTATTATTTACATTTTATATGGGATACTCTGGCTGCTGTGGTCTGCCTGCTATTGGAAAGATACATTAAGAATTCAGTTCTGGATCGCAGCTGTTATTTTCCTGGGAATGCTTGAGAAAGCAGTTTTCTATTCGGAATACCAAAACATCAACAGCACCGGACTGTCAAGTAAGTTGTCACTGCCTCTCAAATGCAGTGTGATCCGAGAGGCTCCTCGGTGTGAGCGGAGGTGTGGGGGCAAGCCTTTGGGAAGGAAGGCTGGGAGCCAGGGAGAGCATGGCGGAGGAGGACTCTGAACTGGGCTGACATGATTCATGTGCTCCCTTCCTTCTTGTGAGCTGCCCCTCACTGCCCTGGAGAAAGGACATTCCATCCACTTAAAAGTCTCAGACATCAGATGTTATAGGAGTGGAAATCACCTCAATGGCAGTGGCTTTGGTTTGGGCTGTAAGGTTGGGTTACCGAGTGATTGGATTAAAGCAATGCCGAGTCTGGACTGTAGAACTTCAGCTTCGGCCAGCCCTTTGAACTATTTCTCCATTTTCTGCCCCTCCCCCTAGTCCTCTTTTCTTTTTCTTCCCTTAAAAAAGGCGAGAAGAGCTGTTTAGGCACAGGGAGTGAGAGTGGTAGGGCCCCCTTGCATTTTCTCTAGCTTTCCAATGCTATATAGAGCTCCTTAGGACCATGCGGTTCCAGTTTGCACAGTGCAACGTGTGAAGCAGACACCAGGTTTAGTTGAGCATCTTCACATGCATGTCTCAGACTTTGAGAAAGTAGATTTCAGAAGACAAGCCAAATCTCAGGGTACACAGCCCCTGCTAAATCTTTAGGAGGTGAGGTTGCCCACAGGGTTCAATGCTTCCAAGAGATCAGGCACAAATGAGCTTGGTACAGATTGATTTTTGAAAGGCATGGTCATGTCTGCTGTGAACTCACCCAATGAACCAGGTAGACGTGCCCTTAATTGTGATTACTTACTAATTAGTAGTAAACATTTTCAGTTTTCACCACCCCAGTGATTCTACTTCTTTGGATGGCTGGCATCTGTCTTCCTTCCAACCCCACAGCACCTTCCCACAGAACAAAAGGCTCTTCAGAATTACAGTCCCTAAGGGGGAGCAAGTATCCAGTACAAAGATAAGCATGGGCTTACTTGTACTCACTTCCTAATCTGTAGTGGACCATTTCACATGCTTTTTATGTGGTGAAAATCATGAAACTCTTCACTACAGGTTAGAAAGTAAGCACAAACAAGCTGGTATTTACCTTATTTGGTAATCTCTTCCTGTTTTGCTTGCTATTTGCATTAAGACATAGCAAGAAACAAAGTGGGCTGGAATAAAGATGAAACAAGGTTGGGACAGTGGCTTTTTCAATGACCAGCACTTGCTGATAAAGAGCTGGGAAGGCAGCCTTGAGTATGGATTATAAGTTGATGTAAAGAAGACCCAAATTCTCACAACTGGACCAATAGTTAACATCATGATAAATGGAGAAAAAGTTGACGTTGTCAAGGATTTTGTCTTGCTTGGATCCACAATCAGTGCTCATGGAAGCAACAGTCAAGAGATCAAACGATGCTCAACATTGGGCAAATCTGCCACACAACTCCTCCTTAGAGTGTTGAAATGCACGGATGTCACTTTGAGTACCAAGGTGTGCCTAACCCAAGGCATGGTATTCTCCATGGCATCATATGCATGTGAAAGTTGGACGTTGAGTAAAGGAGGTGGAAGAAGAAGAACTGATGCATTTGAATTGCGGTGCTGGAGAAGAATATGAAAGTCCCATGGACTGCTAAAAGCACAAACCAGTCTGTCTTGGAAGAAGTCCAGCCAGAGTGCTCCTTAGAGGCAGGGATGGTGAGCCTTCATCTGACGTGCTTTGGACATCATGCGTGGTAAAGTAGAGGGGCAGCAGAACAGAGGAAGGCCCCCAGGGAGGTGGACTGACCCAGTGGCTGCAACAGGGAGCGCCTGCACGGGAGCAATCGTGAAGAGGGTGCGGGTCCAGGCAGTGTTTCTTTCACCTAACCCCTCTCGGGTCCGAACTAACTCGATGGCATGTAACAGCAGCCTCAGGGTGTTTTGATAAACGTGTTCTGTGATTTCTGGGAAAGTTTGCAGAGCCCTTTAGTCACTCATTCAGCAGTTTGCACAGATTTTTCCATTGGTTACATTCCCCAAACGGGTCATTTCTACCTTAGCTTTCTTGTTTCCCTTAGCCCAGTCCCCTGCCCATCCTTCTTTACTGTTTGGGGGCTAAGTGCCATCTTTTTTGTTGCCTGTCCTTGATGGTTCTGCGGAGGATGGTCTTCCTGGCTGGGTGTTGCTCTTCACTTTCTAGGCCTTTTATGTGGCTGACAGGTAATCTCTGGGAGTGGCTTCAGCTCGGTGCTGAAGTGGTATAAGGGCTGTAGTTGTGGGTCCACCGGCCCCTATCAAGCCAGTAAATCAGGTCTTTTTCTCTCCTGCTCTCTCTGGTACTTTCGATTGTGATCCCAGTCAGCGCAGTCTGTGGTGGTAACCAGCCACTAACTATTTGTTCTGGTCTTAGGTTAGTGGAGGCTATAGCTTATGTGGGCCTTTGTGCTCGTTATCTCCCGAGCCTTTGATTTTCGCATCTCTCCTTTGCTCTGGATAGAGGGAAAACAGTAGTGGTAAACTTGGATGGCTGCTTGCATGCCCTTAAGACCCCAGTCACTACTCACCCACACAGGGCATTGCACTGTCTTTAGGGATTGTGCCGTGCCAGTTGACCTAGATGTCCCTGAGACTAGGGGTCCTACCCCCCTCCAGCCCAGAACATCAGTCCTGGATGATAGTTGGTTCTGACTAAGAGGTTTTCACGACCGTGCCCTACTGTGCTCTCCTTTTATACATGGTATATTTGCAGCATATACGAAACATAATATGTAGGAATATTTGCTCCCAGACTTATATATGTACATGGTGAGATTAGCATACTGTTGATAATTATTGAAGCTGTGCAATAGGTACATGGAAGTTCATTATAAGGTTTCCTCTCTGTAAGGAGTGTGTAAAATTTTCCAAAATAAGTTTAAGAGGACAGTATACAAAAGAATAAAGATAAGACAAAGCCATGGCTGCATATGAGAGGTATTATTACTGGATGAGAAGTTTGTGAGTGTTTCAGTGCAGTAAGACAGGGACAGGAGGTAGGTCTGTGTTGCTGAGGATTATAGTAGGCATGGGTGATGGAGAAGAGTCAGTTCCTTTGCCCCTCGGTGAGGGGCAGCAAAAGCCCGAGATGCAGGAGTGCATAAGCATCCATTGGCCTAAGGTGGCACCAAAGGGGTTTGCAAGAGAAACCCTCGACTGCTGTCGGTCTTTGAAGAGTTCTGTTGAATGGGAAAGGTGTCAGGAGACATGGGCTAATGTTATTTTTTATTTTCCCAAGTAGCAATTCTGTTACATAGACTGTCTTGCTTAGCACTGATCTTGGAAAGATACTACTTGGAAAAAATAATCAAAAGCAAGGGAATTAGGAATTGTTGAGACCCAATATGGATACATTAAGAATAAGTCGTGTCCAATTGGATATCCCCTCACAGAAGGGTCACGAGGAAGGGACCAGTCAGCCAGGATGCAGTATAGCACCAACGAAACACACAATATTCCTCTACTTCTTTAATGCTTCCTCCTCCCCCACTATCATGACCTCACTTCTACTCTACAAATCTGGCTTGACCGGAGCATGCACACTGGTACAGATAAAAGCTTTCAACACAGAACCCAGGACAGATAAAACCCTCAGGAGCAGTAATGGGAGTAGCAATACTCTGAGGGTGGGGGGGAGAAAGGGGGAACCGATCGCAATGATCGAAGTATAACACCCAACAGAAACATGGGTGAAGGGAAGACAGAATGGTGTAAGATGTGAAAATAATAATTATAATTTATCAAGGGTTCACTGGGGGGGGGGGGGGGCGGAGCTGATACCAAGGGCTCAAGTAGAAAATGTTTTTAAAATGATGATGGCAACATATGTTCAAATGTGCTTGATACAATTGATATTTAGATTGTTTTAAGAACTGTAAGAGCCCCCAATAAAAGGATTTATTAAAAAAAAAAAAAAAGTCATGCCAAAGTAACTTGTGTGGGGAGAGCTGCACTTCCACATGGAGAAAATGAAAATCCACTCTGGACCAATAAGAAACACTCTAATGCACACGGCAAAGATCGACGTTGTGGAGGGTTTCATTTTGCTTGGATCCAAAATCAACACTCACGGTATCAGCAGTCAAGAGACCTCCTTCAGGTGTTCAGAACCAGAACCATCCCTCTGGGTCAGGCCCAATCCCAATTATGTGGACAGCCTCCACTCCCTCCCCGCAGAAGAATGCACTTCAGAGGACAGCACTGAAGCTACACCTCAGGGAGAGGGACATGTCTGATCAGCAAATAAAGGGGGAGGAAGAGGAAAACACTAAGGGCATGCAACAGAACAGCAAAGGGAGCAGAGCAAGGAAGTCCCAAGGGAATACCAAAAATAGACTTTGGGGCCAGGGTGCAGCATCCCATCAGATGACCAGAAAACACTCCCAAAGGTCAACAAACAGACCTTGAACTATTTACAGGCTTTTCTTTCCTTTTTTTTTTTTGGTCATGGAGTTTTTTGGTTGTTTTTTGTTGTTGTTGTTGCTTTGTTTTGCTCTGTGTGTGTGTGTGTGTGTGTGTGTGCGTATTATTATCTCTGGGGGTCTATCTAGATAAAATAGGCTGAATTAACAATCTGGAGGAAAACAACTGACTGATGGTTCCAGGGGGTGACATGGGAGAGGTGGAGGAGGGAGAAAGGAAGTGGGTGTTAACAAACCCAGGGACAAGGAAACAGCAAGTGATCTAAAATCTGGCGAGGAGGGTGTAGGATGCCTGGTGGGGCTTGATCAAGAGCAGTGTCACCGAGATGAATTACTGAAACCCAAATGAAGGCTGAACATGATAGTGGGACAAGAGGAAAGTAAAAGGAAATAGAGGAAAGAACTAGGAGGCAAAGGGCATTTATAGAGGTCTGAATAAAGGCATGTACATGGGTAAATATATTTATATATGACAATAGGGAAATAGATCGATGTGCATATATTTATAGGTTTAGTATTAAGGTAGCAGATGGACATTGGGCCTCGACTCAAGTACTCACTCCCTCAACACAAGAACACTTTGTTCTAATAAACTGGCATTCTATGGTGCTCACCTTCCTGACACAATCACTGAAGACAAAGTGGGTATATAAGGTGACCAGATGTCCCGCTTTTGGGCATTTTAAAAAATCCCAATTTTTGGAAAGAATGCACGACAAGCTAGGGAACGGTCTATTTGGTCCATATAGACCAAATATTTAATCAAGAACCCACCCACACTGCCCCAGTCAATGGTGTCCCACTTTAAATATGGTCACCTTAGTATATAAGCAAATGTGATGAAGAAAGCTGATGGTGCCAGGCTATCAAAAGATAAAGCATCTGGAGTCTTAAAGGCTTGAAGGTAAACAAGCGGTCATCTAGCTCAGAAGCAGCAATGCCCACATGGAAGAAGCACTCCAGCCTATGTGATCATGAGGTGTTGATAGGATCAGGTACCAGGCATCAAAAAACAAAAAATCATGTAATTGTGAATGAGGCGGAATGCGGAGTTGAGACCCAACGCCCATCTGTAGGCAATTGGACATCCCCTTAGAGAAGAGTTGTGGGGAGGAAATGGGCCAGTCAGGGTGCAATATAGCAATGATGAAACATACATTTCTTCTAGTTCTTTAATGCTTCTTCCCCCCACTATCATGATCCCAATTCTACCTTACAAATCCAGCTAGACCAGAGGATGTACACCGGTACAGATAAGAGTTAGAAACACAGGGAATCCAGGACAGAGAAACCCCTCAGGACGAATAATGAGAGTAGCGATACTAGGAGGGGAAGGGGAAGGTGGGGGAGAAAGGGAGAACCTATCATAATCTATATATAACCCCTCCCTGGGGGACAGACAACAGAAAAGTGGATGAAGAGAGACATCGGTCAGTGTAAGACGGAAAAAAAAGGATAAGTTATCAAGGGTTCTTGGTGGAGGTAGGGTGGGGGGAAATGAGCTGATACCAAGGGCTGAAGTAGAAAGCAAATGTTTTGAGAATGATGATGGCAACAAATGTACAAATGTGCTTGACACATGGATGTATGTATGGGTTGTGGTAAGAGTTGTACGAGTCCCCAATTAAATGATTAATAAAAAAAAGAAAAAGCTGATACCTAGGGCTCAAATACACAGTAAATGTTTATAAAAGAAAAGAAAAAAAATGATGATGGCAACAAGTGTACAAATGTGCTTGACAATGGATGGATGTATGGATTGTGATAAGAATTGTACAAGTCCCCAATAAAATGATGAAAAAAACAAAACAAAACATCCCTCTGAGGACTAAGGCGCACATGATCCAAATGGAGTTGAAGAAGAATTGATGCCTTTGAATTTCAGTATTGGCCGGGGATACGGAATGTACAGTTGAACTGTTAGAAGAAGGAACACATTTGTCTTGGAAGGAAGTTCATCTGAAATGCCCCTCAGAAGCACGGGTGGCACGACCCATGCCCTTTGGACAGGGCATGACTGGGGAAGCCACCCTGGAGAAAGGGCTCTGGAGGACATGCTGCCTTTACGTAGAGAACCATAAGAGGCTCCTTGGTCTCCCGTGGCCCCCAGGGAAGGACAAGGACAGGAAGGCTCAGGGAGGCTGTTCGTGCTGCTCACAGTGTAGAGTGAACTCTTCAGAAGGCATTGGGTGGATCAGACGACTTTCAGATCAAATGTGGCTAATTACTGTGCTGAGGCCAGAATGTCCTTACAAATAATGCATGCTCAGAACCAAGGTGAAAAGGCTTCAGCTAGGCACAAAGTGAATCATGTTTTCTTTTTACTCCCTCAGCTCAAGGTTTATTAATATTTGCGGGGTTGATATCGGCGGTTAAAAGGACATTGGCTCGTCTCCTCGTCATCATTGTGAGCTTGGGTTATGGCATCGTGAAGTAAGTATTGGGGCATTGAAAATAAGCTGAGCCTCCGATCTTGTGATCCAGTCTATCTACTTTATGGCTTCTCATCAATCAAACTTTTCCAGAGATAATCCACGTCTACAGTAATGTGTTTTTAAAAGATTTACATATACTGGCTACTTTCTAGCTCCTTGAACAAAAAATCCCAAGTTTGAGTTCCATAAACTTTTTATAGTTAATTAAATGCACATTCAACTGTAAAGATAATGAAAACTAAAATGATTCTTGAATTTTATACCTTGAGTTTCCTAGACTGTAGAGCTGGCTCTTTATGTGTACAGCTGAGGGGGTTGTAAGAGATAGTAGGGTTAATCAGAATCAGATAATTCAAAACGGTGGTTCCCCAAAGACCTCATTTCCCAAACCAATCTTGTCTCACACACTTGTGTACTGCTGGGCTCCAGTGTGGGTGGGAGGATTTGTCTTCTTTATTCTCGTTGCGTTTTGCAAAACATAGTTCATTCTTCTTCCCCTAAACTTTCCGGTTCCCAGAAGTTCGAGCTGTGAGAAAGGGTCACTGTAGTGCAGATCAGCTCCCTGATTTCTCTCTTTAACCCAAACTCTCTCAGCACTTGATACACCGCTGTCTTTCCAGCTGTACATCTGCCAGAATTGCCAGAGATTTCAGGGCCTGTGTGGGTGATCCTTTGAGCTGAGCGCACTCCTCACATCTGTTGATCTTGCCTCTCACTTGATCTCAGCGACTCGCTTCCATGGCCCTTTTCAGCCCTTGTTCTTATGCATGACTGCACTCTCACTATCATTTCAAAATTTAAGAAAAATCATTTTATTGGGGGCTCGTACAACTCGTATCACAACCCATACATATATCCATTGTGTCGAGCACATTTGTACATTTGTTGCCATCATTTTCAAAACATTTTCTTTCCATTTGAGCCTTGGTAACAGCTCCTCATTTGTTCCCTTCCCTCACAAACCCTTGGTAATTTATAAATTATTATTTTTTTTTTATGTCTTTCACTGACTTATGTCTCCCTTCACCCACTTTTCTGTTGTCTGTCCCCCAGGGAAGGGGGTTATACGTATGTAGATCATTGTGATCAGTTCCCCCTTTCTCTCCCCACCTTTCCTTTACCCTCCTGGTATTGCTACTCTCATTATTGGTCCTGAGGGATTTGTCTGTCCTGGATTTCCTGTGTTTCCAGCTCTTATCTGTACTAGTGTACATCCTCTGGTCTAGCCAAATTTGTAAGGTAGAATTGGGATCAGGATAGTGGGGGGAAGAAGCATTAAAGAACTAGAGAGATGTTGTATGTTTCATCAGTGCTATACTGCACCCTGATTGGCTTGTCTAACTCCCTGAGACCCTTCTCTAAGGGGATGTTGAGTTGCCTACAGATGAGCTTTGAGTCCTCAATCTGCACTCCCCCTCATTCACATTAATATGATTTTTTGCTCTTTGATACCTGATATCTGATCCCTTCAGCAGCTCATGATCACACAGGCTGGTGTGCTTCTTCCATGTGGGCTTTGTTGCTTTCCTGCTGGATGACCACTTGTTTAACTTCAAGCCTTTAAGACCCCAGACGCTATATCTTTTGATAGCTGGTCACCATCAGCTTTCTTCATCACATTTGCTTATGCACCCACTTCGTCTTCAGCAAACTTGTTGGAAAGGTGAGCACCATGGAATGCCAGGTTATTGGAACAAAGTGTTCTTGGGTTGAGGGAGTACTTGAGTAGAGGTCCAATGCCCACCTGTACCTTAATACTAAACCTATAAATATATGCACATCGATCTATTTCCCCATCGTCATATATAAATATATTTACATATGTACATGCTTTATTTAGACCTCTATAAATGTCCTTTGCCTCCTAGTTCTTTCCCCTATTTCCTTTTACTTTCCTCGTGTCCCACTACCATGTTCAGCCTTCATTTGGGTTTTAGTAATTTCTCTCAGTGACATTGCCCTTGATCAAGCCCCACCAGGCGTCCTGCACCCTGCTTGCCATCAATTTTAGATCACTTGTTCATCTCAATTTTAAACAAACCTGTTGTCCAGTGATCACCTCCTCACTTGCTCATGTGCTTCTTTAATACTTCCGCTCTGGACTTGGACCTGTGATCTTTGAACCCAGTCCCTCTGGCTGTCTTCATGGTCTTCTTTTGGTTAGATTCCATGGTCCAGGAGGTCACTGACGCCCTTGCCTCCACACAAAGCCCCTGCCTTTCTCTTTGTCATTCTCCCAAATGACCAAAACTCAGCCTTGGTAACCAGCTCTATGGCATCAGACTCACACGTGAGTAGTGGTATTTGCCCTTAAAGGACATCCAACCACACTGCCTGGGCTCACTTTACATCTGTGAACTGTGGAGATTCTAAGTTGATTTTCTCAGTGCTCCACTCTGCAGAAGACCGCTTCATACCCCTTCTCTCCTCAAAGATCCAGTACCTTGCTCCTATCCCTCTCATTCATTTTAATGAATCATAATCTGAATTAACTAAATTAGTCTTAGATGTGATATATGGGCATTGGTTTCTACTTAAATTTTACTTTAAAGCACCCATTTTTGGTAACCTGGATTTATTCTGTTTATTCTAAAGAGAGTTTTTGTGTGTCTTAAAATACACATGTGCCGCAGATTATGATTCATAAATGTCAGAAATGTTCAGTTCTGGTTTCAAACAATTGATTGTACGGGTCACCCTTTTTTTATTTCCTCATTACACTCCTATCATTTTGAAGAATTAAAAACGTTCATTCAGTTTAGTGACTGAAAGCTGAAGTCTCTGAACCTCCCTGTGTTGATTATTCACAGTGATCAGAAGGGAGGTCGTAGAAGTTACTCTCCTAATACCACGCTTTCTCTGCTCAAGTTATACACTCTTATTACAAAGACCTCAGAACTATGTTTAACTTACGTTTGTGAAGCAAAGGACAATCTGCCAATAGCTATTAAAATCCGCTCCATCGAGTCCATTCGGACTCATAGTGACTGTAGAGAGAGCAGAACTGCCTACAGAGTTCCACGGGCTGTAATCTTCATGGAGTGACTGCTGTAGTTTGTTCCCTGGAGCAGCCAGGGGATCAGCTGTGCTCCATCCAGGACTGTTAGAAAGTAGCACTTAGCTTCTTAGCGGTCCGCTCCTCCGGCCATCCAGATAGTTTAGTACCTGGCAGGTGTTTGAGGCCCAGGGTGATGCACACAGGTCATTGCTCAGCTCCTGACCCAAAGGGTAGAGATATCCTCAGCCATGGGAAACCGTGGGACGCAGTGTCACACCGACACGCAGGCCTGCCACAAATCAGAATCCTCACCACAAAAACTGATGTGTTAATGATGTTACATAAATGTGAACAGGCAAAGCCCTGGCACCGGGGAGCCGCAGAATATTGTGCCAGGAAAATCCCAACAGCCTCAGGCCCTACAGGAAGAGAGACAGGCCTGTCTTTACTTTCTTTCCAGGAAACACAGTTTTCCTAAAGCCTCTTAAGAGCAGACTGATTTATCTTATTATAGGTATAGGAAGGAAGTGGGTGTCTGTTATATTCAAATGCATAAATGCGTTGTACATAATCACCTTTTTGTATGTGTGTGTGTGTCTTTGTTTTCTCTTCAGGCCTCGCTTAGGGACAGTCATGCACCGGGTGATTGGACTGGGGCTTCTCTACTTTATCTTTGCAGTGGTTGAAGGCGTGATGCGAGTCATTGGGGTAAAAACCAACATGAATCTCCACCACCCTCTGTTATTGTTGCTGTGAAGTCTGATTTCTCTTTCCATATCCCGAGAAGAAGTTTTAAAGATAGGGAGTTAAGGGAAAGGGCCCAATTTGAACTTTTTCTTGTGGGATATTTCCTTTGAAAACTACTATTGTTCTTAAAATAGAGCATTCTTAAAATGTATTGTTAGGAAAACACCACTTAAGGTCATGCCAGGAATTAGCTCTATCCCAGAAATGGTCATGTTCATTCTTTAGAAAGAATGCTTTTTTGCCATTATGCAGTCTGTGCACATTTGTAACTTCCTTAACCTTGGATTTTAAAATGTACCAAGTGAAGGAGGAGTCTGCCTGCCCTTCAAGCATACAAACATTACATCTCATCACTCCTCTGACATCTCCTTTAGTTCTCACTGCTGTCTGCCCCTTGTGAACTCGATCATCTGGGGATTTAGCATATCCTACTGCGACCAGAGCAGGGAGAGGAGAGCGGCCCGGAATGTAGGCAGCTGTTCTCCCCTCTTGCGTGAAGTGTCAGCATTTTTGTTTGGGGAGGACCCCAGGTTTCTAGCTTTCTGGGAGTCCTAATAAATGGTTGAGTACTATGTGATGAAGAAACTTACTCTGTTTTACCTGATTCAAAGAGCTTGTAATTTTTACCCAAAATGTCTTTTGGATTAGCTGTTAAAATCAGCCCCCTGTGCAGAGTGGTTCATGTGCACATGCACGTTTTATATTTACACACATCTTGATACATACTGTCTTTAAAGCAGGGCATCTGTTCAGTGATGTTTAATAAGCCTCATTCTTCCTGCTGTCTTGGATTCTTCTGTTCATTACATCAGCTCTAAATCTTTGAGACTATTTATTTTCTCCTTTATGTAGTAGTGAACTCTGCACTTAAACACTTAAATATATAATTCACAAATGTTACCAGAAAGGAAATAGAAAAAACAACAACAATGTAGCTCTGTCATCTCTTGCTTATTCACCAGGCAAGAATCTCATCTCCGGTTTATTTCCATATGATTCAAGCTGATACTAGGTTGATCACACATTAGCAACACCTGTTGCTGCCAAAACAGTTAATTTTAAGGAAATAGAAAATTTTATGTAACTTTTGTAAAAGGTGAGAGAAAGCTGGGTTGGTTTCATTATCAGATGATAATGGTCGCATTCCGCTTTGTTTTTGGTTCTCATTTCTTTCAGGGCTCTACCCATTTAGCTGTCGCTTTGGGTGACATTCTTTTAGCAGTCATTGACTCCATTTTTGTGTGGTTCATATCCTTTTTGTGTCCTTGTGAAAAGTTTGTTGTATCGTTAAAAACCGATGAATTTTTATTTATAATAACCATAGAAGGAAATGTTGCGATGTTATTACTATTACTTTACTACAGGATTGTAGTTGAAGGGGAAAAGGAACAATGTGTATAACCTGAAACAAGGAACAACTGTATTTTTTTATGTAATTAATTCAGCATGGAAGTGTCCATTGTGGATTCTGAACTGAGGAGGCATGGATGGAAAGGTTCCATCCCTGCATTAGCGGAGACCACTGTATGGCCAGGAGCAATGGTACCTGCCTTTTTGAGAGGGGCGCTACCTTAGCAGAGGGAAGAGCGGAATTAAGTTTGCCCTAAGAAATCGGGAAAGGTTCCAGAGACTAATGGACAAATGGGGTTTCCTAAGCAGAGAACTGGGGTAGGAGCCTTTTGGTGGGAAATGAGAGAAAGTGCCCCTGACCCAGTCAGAGTAGACTGCAGGCTTATTCAGATCCCAGAACAGATGTTTGTGTCTGCCGGTTACATACAAGTACTTATCTGAAAGATGCTTCTCTGTCGATGGCATTTGTGCCAGGTGCTTTTCTGTTTTCAGTGTCTGGATGTCTTTCCGTTTTCTCATCTGCGTGTCTCACTAGAAAGGCCAGAGGGCTAGAATGTATTGTGTCTCTTAGCAGTTAAGAACCAAAATCCACTGCCCTTGAGTCCATTCCAGTTCCTATCGGCTCAATCCGACTCAGTAGAACTGCCCACTGCCCACCCCTCTGGGTTCTAAGGCAGCCAGAGTGACTGAAGCCGAGGCGACAGCTTCCTCCTGCCGGGCAGCCGGCTGGAACCACCTTCAGTTCACAGCTGAACACTGTGCTGCCCAGGCGCCTTCCTTGTTCTGTCGGGAAGCGTGTTCTTCCTGCAGGTGGGTTAGTCGATGCAGCGCTCTTGATAAGCTTCCGACTCGTTTCGGTATTGACTCACTGCAGCTCTCTGGGACAGTAGACTCGCCCACGGCATTTGCAGGCTGTATTTGTAAAGGAAATAGATGGCTACTCTGTATCCTCAGAGCTGCTGGTGGGTTCAAATTGTGGACTTAATGGTTCATGATCAAGTGCTTTAACCTCTGTGCCACCTAGGCTTCTTTCTGAGTCCTTGGTGGTGGTGTTTTTTTCTAAGCCCAGCCTCGCTTGTTTTTACATTTCTTAGTTTTGAATTCTCGATGTATTTCCAAGTGAGAAAGTCCAACAATTTCAAGTTAATTTTTTGTGTTCTCTAAAACAAATTTTTTACATTTTAAGGGATGCTGGGGAGCAGTGAAGCCCTTGAACATCTAATGAGAGCCTTGGGGGCCTTCCGTGGACAGAAAGATAGTGGATTTCCTAAGTTATTACAAATGGCAAGCAAAAGAAGCAGGGCTGGACACATAGAGAAGAGTACTTTAGAATCAACCCTCCTTTTCTTGATTTTTAAGGCGTGCCCTGGTGGTGTTCTCAGTCTAACCAGCTAAACTCACCAGCCTCTCTGAGGGAGAAAGAGGCACTGTCCGCTCCCGTGAAGATTTATAAAGTCCCAGGACCCCTGCATAGTCGCCCCGTGTTAGAGTCTACTCAGGTGGCAGTGGGTCTGGTTTGGGGTTTCTTGGTTTGGATGACCAATGTAACTAATCCTGTAAGGATTTAATTTTAAAACCATAGGAAAAAATTTTAGACTGAAAAATTCTCACATAGGCCCCTCCTGTTTCTGCTTGTTTTGTGTTTGCTGTTTTGCTGCAGGCGAAAGATTCTGATCTTGCCCTCCTAGCCAGCCTGCCCCTCTCTCTCCTTGACTCTGCCCTCTGCTGGTGGATATCCTTTTACGGCGCAGCACGGTGGGCGCACTGCCGCCTCTCGAGGCCTCTGCTTTCATTGTTGACTTCCTTAGAAGCAGGATTCAGCATCCACCTTGTTTCACCCAGCTCACAATTCAAAAGTTAAAACAACAACAACAATCACCGTGGGTTAATGATGGCTTGCGAAGGGCGGCACTGGCAGTTTTGAACTTGCTTTTGATCATTTTTGCCTTGACTTAAAAACACACGCAACCTTTTGGATTACTAAATGAGACCACGCTGGAGTCAGGGATTTTTGGACCGTATTGGTCTTAACTAGTGTGTTTTCGAAATAATGAAAGTCGGTGTGCATCTTTGTAAGTTCTGACCCTAGTCTCAGTTGGTTGGGTTCTTTTACAACTAATCAGTCACCTAGAAAGATTAGAAAGCAGCCTGAGTACTTCTAGTACTCAAAATGTTTGATTAATGAATTTTTTTAGGATTTAAAATAGGCACAAGAACACATTTTGCCACCTTCGCCTTTTTGCTCAACCATGGCCGTGTGGAAGTGCTGTTTCACAAGCAGATCCTTCAGGAGGAAGGCGAGCGCCTTTAAGAGCCATTGGGAGGCCCAGCACACTGCTGGAGGCTCTTGTTGCTTCTTCATCCTGGACACTTGAACGTTCCTTGAGCCCAGGGCGCCTGCAGAACAGTGATGATCACCCCCACCTCCACCCTGCCTGCCACCTGCTATCCCCACCTTTTTGTGCTCCCAGGAAAGGTTTACTGCAAAGAACCACCCTTCCCTGTATGACTCAGATTGTAATTTACAATGAACTTGTTGATGAAGGTCAGCTCAGCAAACAGCCCTTCACATTCTAATTCTTGCTTCATAAACGGTTCGCTGAACTGTCTGCCTTGCTCAACTTGGACAAAACACCTGGCTTCACCAGACTTGATGGTAAAGCACTCTCTTTCCCTTGGCGCTGCTTCAGCCTCAAGCAGCCTACAGCCTCTCCTAAGGAAGGACAGTCAGTAGTGGTTCAGTCTGTCCAGTCACCACATCCCCTCCCGCAGACTAGTTTCTCCCTGGCTCGTGTATGTCTTCTCTATCAAAGCAAGGCCCTTTCCTGCCTCACCTTTGAGAGCTTGCAAATATTGTGATTGGTGCATTCTCCCTATTGCAGTAGATATATTGAATACAGTCTCTACTTAGGTTCAGATTTGTTTTGCTATATTTCAGGGGGAGGTTTAAATTTAGAGAACGGAGTTGATAGCTGGCCTTACTACATGGTTGTGATCATTTGGAGGCAAAAACAATGATAGGCTAGAATGAATAAACAGAGCAGAATGGCACGTTACAATGTGGTCTGTAAACGTGACCCCAGGGAAGCAGACTTCAGCCTACGCTGTCCACTGCTATGCTGTAGGAGAGCAGCCTTGAATGAGCACACCATTGCTGGGTAGGATAGGGCAGGGCGGGCATTCTTGCTTGCAGTTTTTCTATAAAGTTTGTTGATTTAGTTCATATTGTGGTAAGTTACAGGGTAAAATCTATGATAAAGTCACTTATTGTTATATGGTGTTGGCTGAGATAACTTTTTTGTGTGTGTCCTTTAGCGTCACCACTTTAGAACGATTATCTGCCACGTTGGAAATGTAACATACAACTCTTGTTGTGTAGTGTATCTACTTACTGCTATTTCCCCTTAACTTATTATTTTCACATTTTCATAAGTTTGGCACAAACGATGAAGACTCTCCGGTTAAGAAAGAACACGGTGAAGTTTTCTTTATACAGGCACTTCACAAATATTCTGATCTTTGCTGTAGTGGGTAAGCCATTTAAATTTTCTTAGCATAATGCATTATGTTAAAGTAGCATGTTCTTTTAAAAGTAACTTTTTTGTGTTTCAGTTTCTGTAGTGTTTATGATATGGACAACGAAGACATTTAGAATTTCAAAATGCAAATCTGTAAGTATAGTCTTTCTACTTGAAAACTTCATTTTTCATTATGCTATTTGATTTTGTGTCATTTTAAAAGATCTAATTTGTGTTTAATAGGCATAATATCACGGCACTTTTCTGTTTATTTTGAACTGTTTTCTTTAGAATGGTAAAATGTTTTGCCTCTTTTAAATTAGTTTTAAAAGGTTCTCTAAATCCTGTTTATTTGAAAGGATTCTTTCCTTGCGTAGTTTAAAGTAACAGGAGGAAATCTTTTCATTGCTTTTTTCTGCGTATCGTGGGATTAGCTCGTTTATAGTTTATATCTACTCTTGTTCAATGAGACTGTGACTGTTAAGTTTGATTCCCTGGGAAGGGTCTACCCATTTAGGAGATAGAAGATTTCTTAGTTTTGGAGTATATCGGGAGCCTTTTTGATATTTTCAGAGATTTGAAGCTAGTTATAAATAGTTGGTACCCAAACTTTGACCAACTGCCCCCTGTCCGAAAAAGAAAAGTTACTTCCCCCAAATTGAAGACCTTTCCAGGATCCAGTGTAGGTGTCTGTTTTTACCGCTCTCCTGGGTTATTCCAGCGCCCCCTGGAGGGCGGTATCGCCCACTTTGGGAAACACGGCACTGTGTCAACAACTGCAGAGCCCTCCCTCGGCGAGTCTGGGCTTCTTTCTACCACCTTGGGCAATTAAAAGATAAGTTTGTCAACTAGAAATGCCAATGATGCACAACCACATATTGTCATTGATAGAATTAAAGTTTAAATGGGATATTCCTTGATCTCCTGGGAAAGAATAATAACAAAAAGCAAACCACCGCCACCTCTTACTCTAGTACACTGCGATGCTGATCTCAGCCTGGTCTCAACACCAGAGCACACAGCCTGGTTAAAAAAAAAACAAAAAAACACATAAATAGAAGCAGAAGAGGCTGAGCTTGCTGATGTTCTTCCTCCCTGCAACTTAGTGCTGTCACATGACGCTCTAGCTTTTATTTTTGTTAACAATGTTTATGATGTAACCCTAAAATTTATGGAAGGGAATTTTTATAATATAAACAGCCCTTTTAGAAACATTTTCAAAACATATATAGCCTGTCCTACTAAAAGCAAAGTAGGCTACTGGGAAAATATTTGCATTAAGACTTTTGCATCTGATTCTGAAGTCATTGAGTGGCCGATGTCAGAGTACCCATTGTCAGCTTGGCTCTGACCTGCTTCCTGGCAGAACCCAAACCCAGCCCACTGCTATTGAGCCAAACCACTTCATTACTGAGAAAATCCATTCATCTTGTTAAACCGTGCTGCCCCGTTCAGTAAGTAGCCCCGGTGTTTCTGTGGATTAGTGTGGGTCTGCTAACTGCAGGGTCGACAGTTCAACCCCACCAACCACCACTCAGGAGAAAGGAGGCTGTCTGCTTCCATACAGATGAACAGCCTCAGGATCCCTGGGCAGGGATGCTGTGAGTCACAGTCCACTTGGTGGTGGTGGGTTTGGTTTTAGTTGCTGTTCTCATTTCCTGGGAGGTAGAGGGATGTCCCATTTAAACTTTAATTCCTTGAATATAATGTGTAGTTTTATATGAGGATGTTATTCATCTTGACTGAAGGAAGCATTCATTTGGATTTTACAGAGATATTAAGATTTTGAGTGAATTATTTGAAATTTGTATTTCTATTGAAAAATGCTTGCTTGGTTATTTGACAGTTACTTATTGTATACTGTCTAAAGAGAAAACCTGTGTGTTAACAGAAAATTAATTTTGAATTATCCTTTTTATAGGACTGGATGGAACGCTGGGTTGATGATGCATTTTGGAGCTTCCTTTTCTCACTTATCCTTATTGTAATAATGTTTTTGTGGAGACCGTCAGTGAATAATCAGAGGTACTTAACAGGAAAATTCCACTCAGCAAGCCTTTGTGCATCACCTGCTACAATGTCAAAGACACATTATGAAGTAGTCCCGGCTTTTATGGGCCATGACTAGTCAGTGCGGTCAGATGAGGAGATGAAAAGTACAATTGCAAGATAGTGAAAGACGATGTATGAACTAAGACTGGAGGGAAGAGGGATGAGGACAACTTGGTGACCTTGAGGAAAAGAGTGAACTGATGGGAAAGAATGCGTGTTCTGGAGTAGTAAGGAAAAACTTGATAGGCTGGTTTGGTTAATACTCCCTTTACTGGAAGGTAAGAAAGGTGCTCAGCCTGGAGGAAGAGTGAGATCAAGATGGTTCAGCTCTTGAAAGCTGAGCTCTGGAAGTTGTCCTTAAGCTATGTGTAATAGGTCGCTCCCTAAGAGGTACCGCTCTTCCTAAGGGAGCACTCTGTTAAGTGTGCTGTAAATACTTCTAGGGGAAAAGTACATATATCCCACTAGGTGTATTTCTCTCCCTCTTTTTAAAAATCATCCAGTAATAATACATCTATACATAACTCGTGCGCCATTTTGTTTAAATCATCATTTCCATATCACCTTTAATACCCATATGGCATTCGTAATACCCATACGTAAGCCTCATTACTTCTGACTTTTTTTTTTAAACATCGTTTTATTGGGGTCTCTTAAAACCATCCATCCATCAGTTGTATCAAGCATATTTGTACTTACATTGCCTTTATTAGTTTCTAAACATTTACTTTCTATTTGAGCCCTTGGTATCAGCTCCTCTTTTTTCCCAACCTCCCGCCCACCCTCGTGACCACTTGATAAATTATAAGTTATTGTTTTCATATCTTACACCAACGGTTGTCTCCCCCGTGGTTTCTGTTGCCCCTCCCTGGTACGTGTGTGTGTGGGGGGTTGTTATGTGTGGATCATTATGATTGGTTCCCCCTTCCTCCTCTCCTCCTACCTTTCCCCTATCCTGGTATCGCTACTCCCATTTCTGTTCCTGAAGTTCTGACCTGGATTCCATGTGTCGTGAGCTCTTTATCTGTGCCAGTGCACATGCTCCAGTCTGGCCAGAACTGAGAGGCAGGACTGGGATCATGATAGTGGGGGGTGAGGAAGCCTCAAAGAACCAGAGGTATATTGTGTGTCTCATCGTGCTGTACTGCGCCCTGTTGACTCATCCCTTCCTTGTGACCCTTCTGTGAGGGGATGTTTCATTGTCTACTGTTGGGTTTTGGGTCTCTACTCTGACCCTCCTCATTCTCAGCAATGTGTGTGTGTGTGTGTGTGTTTTGGGTCTTCTGATATCTGTTGACCTGCTCCCATCGACACCTCATGATCTCACAGACTGGTGAGCTCCTTCCATGTGCAACAGTTATATTTTATATAGTCATTGCAAAACCCAGATTAGTGATAGTGACCTGTTGTCCTTAGGGGATACACAGGCTAGGTTCCTGTGAGACTCCACGAGCAGCAGTACATCAGTTGATCGATACAGAGCTTGGCTTTAGGTGTGCCTCTATTTAAGGACACCTCATCTAACACACATACAAAGGCGGTCGCACTGCACTGTAACTCCTGCCTGAACAAAGCTCTGTAGCACACAGCTTCTCCCCGAGACACATCACAGCTCCTTTGTGTTTGGAAACCCCAGGCAGCTTCAACAGTATACTTGGAGATCATTTTAAACCATGAACACACTAATGAAATCCACAAACTAGCACGAAATAGACCAGGGGGCACTAAGTAGGGAAAAGGACCCTTGCTCACAAAAATGAGAGTTGAAACGAGAGCGGAGTGTGACCTTGTTCTGCCTTCCCTAGGAATGTGCATATCAGGTGACCAAATTGTTCACCTCCCTGGACATGTCCACAACTGACTGCAGAAGTGCCATGAGTAGTCTTCCTTCAGAGGATAAGAATACATTGTAGCAAGTGGATGCATTCCTAAATAATAAGGGTTAACTGAACATCACTTACGTGAGCAGTGTCTGATTATTAGGAAAGTAACTGGTGGGTACAGACATGCAGTTATATATGTCCACCTGCTAGATCAGTGCTTCTCAACCTTCCTAATGCCGTGACCCTTTAATACAGTTCCTCATGTTGTGGTAACCCCCCAACCATAAAATCATTTTTGTTGCTACTTCATAACTAATTTTGCTACTGTTATGACTTGTAATGTAAATATCTGATATCCAGGATATATTTTCATTGTTACAAATTATATTGGTCTGGGTACTTTAGAGAAACAAATCCACAGAAACTCATCTCGACCCAGTGCGCTCTAAACCTCTAAGCCCAACATTAGCCCAGATGTCCAACACCAATCTACAAAGTCCTCCTCAGTCTCACAAAACACACGCAATGATGCCAACTGCAGGAGGAAAGCTGAGTCAGTGAAAGTGTCAGCATCTCAGTGTTGGCAAGGGTCTCCACACGGCTGCTCCAGCACCCAGGGCTGCATCAGGGTAGGTCCATGTGACTTCTCCTTGGGAGTGTCTTGCTGGAAGTGAGCCTTGCCAGGTGGAGCAGGGAACAGGATAAGGCAGCTGCACTCTGGTCTGGCCATCATTGAGCAAGACACCCAAGAACTGGAAAGGTGAGGCTCACGGAGCCATTTATCTCTCTGCCCTTCAGTTAATCCCACATGTGTTTATCGGCCAGGTTGGCACAATAAACCTTAACTCTCACAAATTGAACATAATTATAGCATAGTGATTAATCACAAAATATGTAATTATATATTGTGAAATATTTATTTCTAATGACAAATGAGGTTTTTTCTTGAAACATGGTGTAGCATGGGTAACAGCCTTCACACTGAGTATGTGGGTGTATCTGCATATGGGCAGACCCGCCTGGAGACGGATAGAGGAGTGGTGCCTCGGTTCCTAAGACCATCAGAAATAAGTGTTTTCCTATGGTCTTAGGCGACCCCCGTGAAAAGGTTGTTCACCCCCCCCCCCAAAGGGGTCGTGACCCACAGCTTGAGAACCGCTGTGCTAGATGAACAGTGATAGTTTAAACCCACCCAGAGGAACTGTGGAAGGCAGGCTGCATGATCTGCTGCGGGAGGTCACAGCCTTGAAAACCCTCTGGGGGACTTGGACACGGGTCCCGGTGAGCCAGAATGATCTGGACAGCAGCTAGCAACAGCAGACTGGACCTTTCTTTCCAGATGTGTGGGTATAAACAGTGCTTTTTGAATGCCGCTGAGCATCTTTTTTTTAACACTTTTATTGACCTATGTCATATACTATACAATTGAGTGGGTTAAGTCAATTAAACAGAGTTGGGCAATCCATCTGTAGACTGTTGGATCCTCTCACAGAAGGGTCACGGGGAAAGGACGAGCCAGCCAGGATGCAGTGTAGTGCCCACGAAACATGCAGCACTCCTCTGGTTCTTTGATTCTTACACACACCCCCATCCTCCCACTGTCATGACCCCAATTTTACCTTAAAAATCCAGCTAGACCAGAGCATCTACACTGGTACAGATAAGAGCTCGTGGTCACGGAATCCAGGACAAATAAACCCCTCAGGAACAGTAATGGGAGTAGCGATACCATGAGGGCAGGGGAAAGGTGGGGGGAGAAAGGGGGAACCGATCACAAGGATCAGCATATAACTATTCCCCCCAAGGGGGATGAACAACAGACATGGGTGAAGAGAGACAGTGGTCTGTGTAATATAAGAAAATAATAATTTATCAATTATCAAGGGTTCATGAGGGAGGGAGGAGAGAAAATAAGGAGCTGATGCTAAGGGCTCAAGTAGAAAGAAAATGTTTTGAAAAGGATGATAGCAACAAATAAACAAATGTGCTTGACACAGTGGATGTGTGGGTTGTTTTTTTGTTTTTTTAATCATTTTATTAGGGGCTCATACAACTCTTACCACAATCCATACATACATCAATTGTGTAAAATGCATCTGTACATTCATTGACCTCATCATTCTCAAAACATTTCCTCTCCACCTAAGCCGCCCGCATTAGGTCCTCATTTTCCCCCTCCCTCCCCGCTCCCCC